AACTGTATATAGATATCCCTAACATTAACATTTGGTGAAAATTTCAAGTATTTACAGTGATTAGTTTTTGAATTACAACCATATAAAAATATCGATTTGGTCGAAAACTGGTTTTGCGTAAAAATTCCCGTTTTTCTGTCATTTTTTTTTTTTGTTTTTCTCGATTGTTTTGAAAACTGTATGAAAATGTTTACTTTTGACCTCTATAATGCACCAAGAATATTCACTTTTACATCGGAAACCACCCCAAAGTTTGAAATTGAAGCATTATTTCGACTAGTTATACTGTACACAGACACAAAAACAAACATAAAAAAAAAAACACACATCATTGTAAAATCAATACATTCATCACTTCGTTCAGAATCTAAAACGACATCACTGTCGACTATCCATTAGACAGTCACAGTAAAATATACTGTATAATATACTGTCTTGAGTATCTAATGTGTTTATATTTAAATTATATTAAATATTAAAATGGTTTATGCTATAAGCCTATAAATTATTTAGTATTTATCTTATAAGCCAGGGATCAAATACCCTTATATAACGCCAAAACGAAAGCCCGAAAACAAATAATTACCCGAATACAGTATTTTTCTCAGGCACTAATTTTATTGTTCTRCATAGATCCCATAATCATATACAGAGTTGGATTTGATGGAAGACATATTAASTTATAATGTCCTAGGAACTTGTTTTTGGAGGCTCTCAATGTTCTTATAAAATGTCTTATAGGTATAATTATATGATTGCAACGCAATATAATATACTGATATAAATTTATTTGTAAATTATCGATTTGAAAAATTGCATTTTAGCATTAAAACAATCTGATAAAAAATGTATTGAATCCAAGGCTCCATGATATAAGACTTGACCACTTAGGCTCATTTCTAAATCTGGCTTTGATGATAATCAAATACAGATTGATAATACCAAGTCTTAGTCTATAACGATTTACGGGACAATACTACTATAACCCTAACTATAACGGTATGAACTAAAATTATTCAAAATAAAAATCATTAAAATATTATTTCATATTATGTACCTTGTACCTACTTATGTCGTACGAGTATATACAGTTCAATACAGGTTCTAATTATTGTTATAATTTATCTATAATAATGCCTATAAATATTAATTTTTCACTGTATGGCGGTGGAATAATTGCCCGATGCTCCTGCATATGAATTTAAACATTAATAATAATAAACATAATCAATTTAATTGATTTCCCGGATCATCACGTATTCACGTCGTAGTCTTCTGTATCACTTCTGCGTAATACCAGTGCGCGTAACGCAGTTTAGGGATCTTTGGTAAACAACAAATCACAGCGACGAGCTCTAATCTGATTTATTTGTATAATATTGAAACTGTTTATATTATAATATGTAATATGCCTACGCCCGCCAGTGAAGTGCCTAGAACAACGTATTTACAAATATATTAACTAGGTATAAACAATATCACGATTATGTACTATGTAGTATTATGTAGAATGACTAGAATGTATAGATCAGTGGTTCCCAAACTGTGCAATATGTTGAAAAGTAAATAACAATTTTTTTTCATAAAATTCGTTATTAACGAGTATTTGTTGAGTTTATCTTTATTTTTCTAACTTTTGTG